ACACATTGCGTCGTGGGATTGTTAGGAGAAAATTGTTTTTATTTGGACACATCTGATTTAGTTTCTTTAAACTTCGTATACAATTATTTGCAACAGCAACATATATTTTGAAGGAACCGTGAATGTAGTTTTTTAATACAGAATTTTTTTTCACAATTTTGACTGATGAATGGGGCTCACCAAGAGTTCATATAATTCATCCTGAGGGGAAGCATGAATATCTTTACTGAATTTTTAATTTAAAACCGATATTTGTTGAGACTTGTCACTGGTCTGTACTTCCGAACCAACAAACGTCGACCTACGGTGGCTCTCCAAATGAAAAACGTCATTAGGCATCCATCCTCTGGGGACCATGAATATCTGCACAGTCCGGACCAACATGGCCATCCATAGAGCACGAAGTTCAACAAATGCCACAAGGTGCAAAGTTTGGACAATGAACTGCGAGCATGGAGAGCGGACTCGTTCTGACATGGCCCCCCGCCTGGTGAGAAACATCCTGCCTGAGCACGCAGCCAGCAAGGCGTACGACTGAGGCCGACAAGACGAGAGCAGAACTTATTCATTGCAGCAACAAGCCTGGGGGCAACCGGCACGTTGGGAGCTAGTGGTTTGCTCTTGCTTACAGGGCATGCTACCGACCTGATTGGGCGGTGAGTTTTTAACGCCAGGGCTGGCCCTCAGAGCCTCTTCAGGGTAGAGCAACAGTCCGTCTAATAAGGCGGACCACTAAAAAAAAATCGTCTGCAGACTGAACTTGCTGATGCGAAAACTGTACGGTCACAGAGTAATACTTGGACCCGGGCTGTTTCCTGGCAAACCGCAGTTTTGAATGAAAACGATCGTAGCGCTTGGGAACCAAATGTGTGTCCCTGCCAGCTTTGTTTCTGAGACTGAACGTTCCCTTAAACCTTCAGCTGCAGAGTGGATGGCTGACGATCGTCAAAAAAAAAATAAAAGAAGTTCACCACTAATTCACTTAAACGCCTATTAAGCCTCAGCGTCTGCAGGAGAGGCACACACTGCGGTATCATACTCTCACAGTGTGGTGGTGTGGTGTGTGGTTTCTATCATATTTGGCAGCGTTCAGTGTTTTCTGCAGTAAATTGTCCTTTCAGCTGTCAAAGTCAGCACAGTGAAGTCACGAGAAATGATACTGTGCATTGAGTGTAGCACAGTTAAAGTGCCCTATTTTTGGAACATTTTGCTTCTGGCGCTTGACAAAAACGTCAAGTTTACATTACGTGGCCAAAGTCACAACAACTCGACAACAGCAGCCTGGCCTCTGTGGCGCTAAACATCCAGGCCATCCAGGGAAAACCAGATGCTACACAGCGCATCAGAAACAGATGGGGGGCTTTGTTTGTTTTTAAAGTGAAGGAGGTCAGAGAGCATCCGCCTTAATGGAGATCAAGAGGCTGGTGTCTATATGTAGCGGCGCGGGCGAGGAATCCCCACTTCAAAGAGTGTAGGTGGGCATCAATCACACCTGTTGCAAAGGTTGGTGGAGACGCAGCGCTAACACTTCTGTTTGAAGATGAACTGGTAGAATTGTTGACCTAGAAAAACATGTTAAAGCGCGCTGCGGATGCAACCTATGCAACCGTCACTGTGGCCGAACGTGGTTTCAATCTGTGGACGATTCCAAGTGTTGACATTTTCTTTTTTTTTTTATAAAGTTTGACGACCAAACTTTACACATTTGAAACAACTCATTTGTTTGAGCATTTTCACGTCTGATTCTGGTTCATGGTCACGTTGGTTTTACCACAGTTGATAGTTTCAAATTCATAAAGTGTTACGTCAACATTCAAATCAGAATTATAACATGGATTCTGAAAGTTTTTCCTTTTTTTTTCTTATTTATTAGTGATAATGAAATACTCGAGCATGAATCAAATAAAAACTTTAAACAAATTCAAGAAAATGATAAAATAACAACACAAAATAAAAATAAAGTTACCTAGCTATTTTGCTAACAAAATAAAAAGCACAAGAAGATATTTTTCTTTCTTTCTTCTTTTTTCTTTCTATTGCAGGCAATGCTTTATTTCAGCTATTGTGAGCTTTTTCAATTTCTGAAAAGTTCTGACACGGAAGTTCCAGGTTTCTGTTGCTTGGCTTGACAGACTCTGAAACAGCAGAATACAATGTGTGATAAGAATATTTAATCAAAATTTCATAAATAAGAGCTAAATTGAAATATATGATCAATGCACGATCCAACTTTCGCAATCATACAACCATCTTCAATGTCACATCCTCACAGCGCTGTGAGCACACACTGACATCAACGTGTGTGACAGATGGTGAAGGATGGAGTGACAGGAAGATGGTTGTATGATTGGAAAGTGGATCGTGCATTGATCATATATTTCAATTTAGCTCTTTATTTATTTAAATTTGATTAAATTTCTTATCACACATTGTATGTCTGCTGTTTCAGAGGTCTGTCAAGCAAGCAACAGAACCTGTGGAACTTCCTGTCAGAACTTTTCAGAATGAAAGCTCACAATAGCTTGAAATAAAAGCATTGCTGCAATAGAAAGAAAAAAGAAAGAAAGAAAGAAAAATATCTTTCTTGTGCTTTTATTTGTTAGCAAAAATAGCTAGGTAACTTTTTATTTTTATTTTGTGTTGTTATTTTTATCATTTCTTTTAATTTGTTGTTTAAAGTTTTTTTTTGATTATGCTCAGTATTTCATATCACTAATAAAAGAAAAAAAGGAAAACTTTCAGAATCCATGTTATAATTCTGATTTGAATGTTGACGTAAAACACTTTATGAATTTGAAACTATCCTGTGGTAAACCAAACGTGACATGAACCAGGCATCAGACGTGAAAATGCTTCAAACCATGAGTTTGTTTCAAATGTGTAAATGTTTGGTCGTCAACTTTATAAAAAAAGAAAAATGTCAACACTTTGAATCCGTCCACAGATGAAACAGGTTCGGCCACAGTGACGGTTGCATAGGTTGCATCCGCAGCGGTTTAACATGTTTTTCTAGGTCAACAATTCTACAGTTCATCTTCAAACAGAAGTGTTAGCGCTGCGTCTCCACCACCTGCCAGTGTGTGATTGATGCCACTACACTCTTTGAAGTGGGATTCCTCGCCCGCGCCGCTACATATAGACACCAGCCTCTGATCTCCATTAAGGCGGATGCTCTCTGCACCTCCTTCACTTTAAAACAAACAAAGCCCCGGTCATCTGTTTCTGATGCGCTGTGGTAGCATCTGGTTTTCCCTGATGGCTGGATGTGTTAGCGCCACAGAGGCCAGTGCTGCTGTTGGTCTGAGTTGTGTGACTTTGGGCCACGTAATTAAACTTGACTTTTGTCAAGCGCAGAGCAAATGTTCCAAATAGGACTTTAACTGTGCTACACTCACATGCACAGTATCACTTTCTCTGGACTTCACTGTGCTGACTTTGATCAGCTGAAGGACAATTTACTGCAGAAAACACTGAACGCTGCCAAAATATGTATAGAAACACACACACCACACACTGTGCAGAGGTATGATACCGCCAGTGTGTGCCTCTCCTGCAGACGGAGGCTTTAATGAGGGTTTAAAGTGAATTTAGTGGTGAACTTCTTTTATTTTTTTTTTGACGATCGTCAGCCATCCACTCTGCCAGCTGAAGGTTTTAAAGGGAACGTTCAGTCTCAGAAACAAAGCTGGCCAGGGACACACATTTGTTCCCAAGCGCTACATCGTTTTCATTCAAACTGCGTTGCCAGGAAACAGCCCGGGTCCAAATGTATTACTCTTGTGACCGTACGTTTTCGCTATCAGCAAAGTTCAGTCTGCAGACGATTTTTTTTTAGGTGGTCCGCCTTTATTAGACGTGACTGTTGCTCTACCCTGAAGAGGCTCTGAGGCACCCTGGGTAAAAACTCACCGCCCAATCAGGTGGTAGCATGCCCTGTAAGCAAGAGCCAAACCCACTAGCTCCCAACGTTGCCGGTTGCCCCCAGGCGTTGCTGATGAATAAGTTCTGCTTCGTCGTGTCGGCTCAGGGCGTACGCTCTGCTGGCTGCTGTCAGGCAGGAGGTCTCACCAGGCGGGGGCCATGTCAGAACGAGTCCCCCGTCTCCATGCTCGCAGTTCATTGTCCACAACTTTGCACCTTGTGGCATTTTGAGCTTCGTGGCTCTATGGATGGCAGTGTTGGTCCGGACTGTGCAGATATTCATGGTCCCCAGAGGATGGATCCTAATGACGTTTCATCTAGAGCCACCGTCAGGTCGACGTTTGTGGTTCGGAGTGACAAGTCTCAACAAATATCGGTTAAATTAAAATTCAGTAAAGATATTCATGGTCCCCTCAGGATGAATTATATGAACTCTGGTGAGCCCCATCATCAGGTCAAAATTTAAAAAAATTCTGTATTAAAAACTACATTCACGGTTCCTTCAAAATATATTTGCTGTTGCAAATTAATTGTATACGAACACGACTTGTAGGAGACAGGTCAGCTATCTATTCTATCTATCTATCTATCTATCTATCTATCTATCTATCTATCTATCTATCTATCTATCTATCTATCTATCTATCTACCTATCTATCTATCTATCTACCTATCCTATCTAATCTATCTATCTATCTATCTATCTAATCTATCTATCTATCTATCCTATCTTATCTATCTATCTACCTTGT